TCCTGGAGTAAGGAAAAACTAAACCACAAGGGGATTAACCCCTTACCATTGATATACTGTTGTGTGTATCACTTTCAGATAAATTTTACTGCCAAAGAGGTTGTTTAACTGCTTGTGGACATATCAACTCATAAAACAGCAGCCTGGTTCCTGTGGCTCCAGAAACAGAAATGAAAGGGAGAACAAATAACTGGAAATTGATACCAGTACCACACACAGTGTACGTTTTTATGCCCAAAAAAGAAAGACTCCAGTTTCTGGTCACGAGCTTAGTCCAAAGTGGTGTGGTGACACGGCAAGATTGTGCTTGTTAAAATACAGTGGCGCAACCATGGAAAAATTAAATGTGAAAAATAGATCAGTGTTCAGCTTTAGTTTCCGGTTTTAAATGAAATTCTCATGAGGTGACATTCTTTGCACATTGTTTTCTGCTTTAACTTAGAGGAAACAAGTTGCATGTCACATAGTCTATGAAAAAATAGGTCAAAACAGTTCAGCTCCAGAGTCAAAATGAAAATAAAATTCTCATGAGGTAAATGATGTACTGTGCACATTGTTTTCTGTTTTACTGAGCTTATAAGAAACAAGTTGCATATAAAATATTGGGGAAAAAATTGAGCTCAGAAAATAAAGCCTCCTCTCACTCTAATCTACTTTTGTTCTTGGCAAGTGATGATGCGTGCATTGCGTGTGTATGTACCGCCACTGCCTCACCGACACTGAAATAGACTGGCATCTCACGGTTCTTTGCTTAAAACCTTTTTTAATTTGTATACGTAAGCAGGACGTAAGACCACTTCGTTTGTCTGGTTCACATAGATGGCCCAGGCCCAAATCGGCCGTAATTACATTGAGTATTTGGCAGCATCCACAGCATGTTCCCGTAGAATCATGCATAATATTAAGCCACAGCCAATTGATTCGGACACTGCCTTCGTGTAATATGTATGGAGCCCGAGGGGGATTCCTTCACCGTACATATTACTCAACCCCACCCATCAAAAACAGGTTAAAATTAATTACGCAGGACTTAGCAAATTCCTGCCGATCAAGTAAGTTTGGCGGCTTTTGGAAATCGTTTTATGCAAAATAAAAAAATTCTTTGTTTTGCCAACGCGCAGGTCTACGGCGACGCGCGCAGTGACCAGAAACCGCAGACTTTTTTTTGGCCTATGAAAGGTTTTTGAATAAATATTTTTGACATGTACATTTTCATTCATGGCAAATTGATGTTTGCTGATGCAATTTGTTTATTACTCAAATTTCTGTCAATCTGTGCCTATGACACTCCATCTAGGGATCTGCCAAAGTCAGATTACCTACAGGAACGACGGTCATCCCAGCAGTCTGAACACTGCCATGGTGACATTAGTCAACTATGACACATATGTGCCACGCAGTGTCAGTGTGACTTCAGTCATGCATGAGCTGGGACACGGATTTGGAAGTCCAGTAAGTTTGTTTTGTTACAATGCCATTATGAGATTCAAGGGTGGATCCAGAACCACATTTTTTTTGGGGGGGGGCAACGTTACTTTTTTGGAGGGGGCAAAATATTGAGGCTACATTTAGGGGCTTTTTACGTGAATTGGAAACAAATGGAAATGAAATAGACCAAAAAAATTGCTTGTTCTCATTATTTTCCCCCCAAAAATGTGTTGGCTTCTTTTTTGGAGGGGCTGAGCATATACTCCATTCGTCTCCTTCCCCTGCAGATCCACCACTGATGAGACATGAGCCTAGTTGTAATGGCTTCACTTAAACAACACACACACACAAGTTTGTAAACGCCTTCAATCGTCGACCCCTATTGTTCCTCTTTTGTTTATACTTTAACTTTTTCAGAAGACCTCCCATATGTTTTGTACACGTTTTCCAACCATGGACTCTTCGGCAACCGTGGACCCTATTGTCCCCTATTGTTATAGGTCCACGATTTGAATGTGTATACAAACTCACACACACACATACAAATAATTTTCCTTAGCTTAAAAGGAAACCTCAGCACTGACAGTGACTGTATTTAATTTAACAAGGACTTGTGTATACATGTTATTTCGCATGTATACGTACATCCCACAACAAAGCATTTTGTATGTGGAGGCTTTGTGTAGTCTCTAAGCTGATTCTGGTAATGGTGGTGGTAGGCCTTAACCAAAGATCTGTAAAGTCAGAATGAAATACATTGAAATCCTATTACAGTGGTTTTAAATGCTTGTCAGATTTGTTGGGTTGTGTACATGTTGTACACTGTCCTTGTAACGAACTCCTCTATTTACCACAATAGATATTTGCCTATTAAAAAAATATGTTTGTATTAATACTAAAAGTTTCCCCATAGAAATATCACAACAGGCATTACATATTTAGTTTATGATTCATAATAGGGTCTTCACAATGACTGTTGACTTTCTTTCGGTACATTTTGCTTCAAACACTGCACCGAGTATAAAAATAATTACAAACCATGGCAAGAAATACTGCATTTACAATATTAAGAACAATTCAAGCTGATCATTAGTAGTCCGTTAGTAAGCCTGAAACCTTTTGCTTCAAAAGAAGTTTTCAGTTCATAAAAAACTAATCTTTAAATAAAGCTTTCCGACAAAAAACATACATGGCCCAAATGAAACCAAAACTTGTGCCAGCCACCTTTGCAAGAGACATTAACCCAAAGGTTGCTGACGAGTGTGCATGAGACCCTGCCAACAGTTTGGCACAGGACCAAGCGCTTCCTTTTCACTCCATCCTCGCGACTGGGAGCAGATGTACATAGCCTGTGGGGCCTCACATGATGAGGAAACAGGAACCGTGAGGTCTCAATCTCATACATCCTTCCCATGTTATGGCCCTGTGTACACTCAGACTCTTAATAACATATTATGTCATCATCATGAGATGACACGCTGGATCATCTTTGAGCATAGGAGGAGGGCTTGCACCACATGATCAGCATGCCATTTTAAAGTTTGGACAAAATGATAATATTTGTTGTCAGCGAGGCAGTATAGTGGTTCAGGTTTGTTACTCCCAAAACACAGGGTTATGGGTTCGAATCCAACTGCTGGTTAGAACCTTTGGTACGTCGCTTTATTCCCACTTGCTTCCCTGCATCCAGCGACATAAATAGGTGTGAGTTAAGAGATATGGTCATCTTTGATTAGCTCAGGTTTTGCCTGAAATGACAGCATCAAACTGCATACTCCTCAAGGGAGCTGAGATGGGTTTTAGCTTGGTTTTATAGGCCTGGTGAACAGGGGTAATAATGATGTGGCACCTCGAGAATTAGTAAAAATGGACCTTATAAATTTACCGTTATTCTCTTTATTTGCAATATGACAGTAATGTTCAAAAGTAACAAAGCAAGTGAGGTGAAAAAGAAATGCAAAAATCACTCATAAAAGATTTGGAAAATTGACAATTAATTGTCGGTCAGCCTTTCATAACACTATTCCAGATCAGGCCTAGCTGTGCAAGACTTCACTGAGAAACATGCATTTATCAGTGCCAGAGGAATAGACAGTACCAAAGTGAATCGTTGGTGCACTTAAGTATGTGCGTAAGCAAATGAACCATTACTTTTCCTGGATCAAAATGACATGGCACTCCACACTCTATACTGCTTTTGCTGCTGTTTGGGTCGTTCATAAATTTCCTGTCTATGGATTTGGTTGATCACACCAAATAAAGCTCAGGCACTGAACCAGGGCCACTGAACCAGGGCTCTTCTCAAATGGCTGTCACATAACAGCAATATTGCTTTTTTATGAAGATGGGGCATATCTAACTAGGTTAATTATTCTGGTTAAGTGGGTAAGTGACACCAAGTTATTTTGCAGATCTGAAGGGGGAAAGTTGGAACGTGGTTGCGAAAATATTTTGCCAGAAAGGTAATGTAGATGAAATGAAATAAGTTTTTTATCCTGTAAGTTCAATTTTGGTCCGTCTGTCTGTGGATATATGTGTTATAGATTTGTCTGTATTTGTAACCTGTTTTGTTATAAGGCATTCGACTAGCTTGGTGGTGGAATAGCTGAAAGCAAGCAATCAAGCATTTATGGGTTCACGCTTGAGCCCGTGTAAGAAAATCCCACAAGCTCTTGGAGGGTGGTGCTCAATTGCAATGGGAATGGGCTTATCAAATAGTCAGATTTGCATTTCACTCTTGAGTTTCATCAGTATCGATATCCCGTCATCGCATTTAGTCGATTTGGGTATAATAAGTGTACACTAACTGGGACATGTTCAGTAGTACAGTAAATGTGTACTGGTATGTAGTGGGTTGCCTCCCCCCAAAGGTAAATTGAAAAAAGAAAAGAAAGAATATAAAAGAAGCCAAAAGTAGGAGGGTATTACTGTGGGATGAAACTCACTCGTGTACTTGAAACTACCTCAGAACCAACCCCTTCCACTGTCAATGCTCATGAATTTCTTGCAGGTTAGTGCTCCAACCCTCCCCCCAAATTTTCCTCCCACCCTTGAAAGCTAATCCCGGTGATGCCAATGTTCCTATGCCGTTATAAGCACCCTCTGTATATTTTCCTCGATTACGACGTGTGGGCAATGCATACGTATCACGGTGTTGAACGCAGCTTTGTTCAATGTAAGTTTGTTCTGACCAGGGGAAAACATCTTGCTTTGCTCATCAGCATGATCCCCGGACACGGAGCTGTTCGCCAGCAGGACCTCAAGGCAACTACATTATGTCCTCCCAGGCGACTGATGGCAATCAACCCAACAACATCCGCTTCTCCACCTGCTCCCGTGGCCCGATGGCGGCGGTGATTGCCACCAAGGGAGCTCTCTGCTTGCAAGGTAAGGAAGTGTTTACTGGATGCTGGTCCGATCCAGGCTGATCATGTAGATTATGCAAAGCAGAGTTTGACACTGCATGGGTTTAGCTATGAATTAAATTTTCCTACTGTAGAAATGCACTTGTCTTTTGTGTTCCCAGAAAAGTTGCTTAAATTTGTATTTTCTCTTCGCTACCACAGTAAATCGACCTTCTTACACCACAGAAGTTGTATTCCACACTAAATTGTTCATTGTTTCTGCCTTGCTTATGTGGGATTTATGGCACCGACACCCTATAAACCAATACATTGATACGCTGGAGAATGGCTCTAGCATCAGCGATGTTCCAGATATCCACATTGTTGAACTTAATGACAGCATTATTTCATTGAAATAGTGATCATTTATATTTTCAGACCTTCTTTTCAAGAACAAAAGCAAAGCGCTCAAAACCTTAGGTGCAATTACAGTTGTAATTAGAATCAGTATAATTAATACTATTGCAAATATTAAAACTGAAACAGTTGAGTGTTTGACACTTTTAAATCTGTTTTCCTTTAAGCTCTCTACTGTTTGTCTGAAGACAAAAGAGAATTAAGTACAAATAATACAGCAACTCAAAATTTCTATCGCATCTCTCAGCCGACTCCGGCCCGCATTGCGGCAACGGTTTGGTGGAACAAGGGGAGGAATGTGACTGCGGCACAGCCCTGCTGTGCCATCTGGCCGACAGGTGTTGCACCCCAAAGGGTGGGGCGGGGAGCGACGCCGAGTGCACCTTCAGGCGGCAGCTGGGAAGGGTCTGCAGGTAAGGCCTGCAAATGTTATCGTCCTTTGAACCAGGGTGGGCATAATCCTTTCTTCCTGTGGTTTAGGGTGGTATGTTGATTGAGGGTGGTATGCTATTTCACAAGCTGTTCCCAAAGTCTGCAGGGAATAGTGGATGACAGTTCTCCAGGGGTAGACAGGGGATTATGGCATCTTTCTGGTACCTCTACCAAGTTAGAGATTTGTCAAACATTTCTCGTTAGAGATTCTGATGTAATTTTAGTGAAACACTTTATGAAATCACGAAAGATCTCCCAAAATGTGTTCTTTGTCGTCTCTTCTTTGAAATTCATAAAAGATTTCAGAATGGTCTGATGATCCGTTTTTCAATAAAATGTAACATCCCCCTCCAAACAACATAACTTAGTCTGGGGCCTCATCTAGAAGTATCACCTTACCGGCGAGTGCCCTTATTAAAAACCACACAACAATTGCCTTGTCGTGAACTGCCACTCCTGCGAATTGAATGAAAAATTAGCTGTTGAAAATGAAGGAGACAGGTCACGATGGTATACAAATACTGCATGGCTCAGAGTGGAACGGGAAGAGTATAATTCCAAGGTAAAATCTGGAGTTGTCAGTGTCGTGAGGCGAAGCCGAGTGTAATGGAATTGTCACAAAGTGATTACATTCCACAATTGAAAGCCACTGGGCAAATGGGACTTTTTGAGCCCCAGTGTGAAGGGTAGCAGTAATGAATGTCATGTGATTAAAATTCCACCAATCATATGGCGAGGATCTGTGAATCAGTTATATAAAAACAGTATGGAGCAATTATGCATATCTGCAAATAGGCCCTGCTCATAATCTTCACACAACACCCATGACTTCCAGTACAGTCATGTGATTAAAGTTCCATCAATCAAATTGCAAGAATGTGTGAGTCAGTTCTATAAAACAGTACAGAGTATTTGTGCAACGACTTCCTTCCTGAGCAGTCATGTGATTAAAATTCCACCAATCAAGTGGCGAGGATCTGTGAATCAGTTATCATGCATCTGCAAATAGGCCATGCTCATAATGGCACACAGTGTAAAAAGTCGACACACTAACGACTTCCAGAGCAGTCATGTGATTAAAATTCCACCAATCAAGTGGCGAGGTTCTGTGAATCAGTTGTCATGCATCTGCAAATAGGCCCTGCTCGTAATGGCACACAATGTAAAAGTTTGACACAACACCCATGACTTCCAGTAGTCAGCCAAATATAACAACATTTTACTCTGGTTGGAAAACAAGGGAAACTATTGTAAAGAGAAAAATCTGAATTCTCACTAGACCAATTCCCGGTGCCCCCCTTACGTTTCCTCGATAATTCATTCTGCAGTCCAGTAACATCTCCTTGCTGCGACGACGATTGCCGTTTGATTCCAGCATCATGGCACAAGCACTGCTTTGAAGATGATGAATGCCTCGCCGTGTCATTCTGCAAATATCCTTTTGACTCTGAATACATTTGCCTTTCCCCGGAAGGGTTGCATTGCCATCCATCCATCATGGTGGTACTACGTCAACACAGCTTATGAAATGTTGCCTCCTTACAAGGTATAGAAAATGGACGAGGGATGCACAAAATCTGAGACAGACAAAAACTCTGTGTACAGATCTCCATAGGGTTGTCTAAGGGGCGTGGCTAACTTTCAAACAGAGTTATGTCAGTTACAGTTGGTGTAAATGGAAAGAAACGGTATAGTTACTTTTTATGATTTACAGTATTGATCGAACAGAATATGCTGCTTGGTTTAAAATGCCTGATCTACAGTTTTTGCTTTTGTATACTGTGGTCATTGCAATTGGAAAGGAATGTTAAGTGGGGCTTAAGTTCTCAAAGTTAAAAATGTTGACTATATTAACTGAAAATATGCCTTTATAACCAAATAAGGCATTATTTCAACACAGTTGCTGTGGGACATCATCAAAAGTAGAGTCCGCAGAAAGTGAAGTTTTTCCTGCAATTGATGCACAACCTTAAACTATCCTGCAGCCAATTTCATCGAGTTGCACCCACAAAACAGAAACTAGACACTTGTAAAAGCTGGGATTGTCCTTGTGTGAAATATTCAATAAAATGAAAATGCTCTGCAGCTAAGCAACTCCTCATTAAATTGACAGGCTTGGTATGAAACTTTGCATGAAGTTTTTGTGACATCAAACATTGGCCATTAAGCCTAACCCTCCTCAATACTTCACCTGTTGGAGGACTGAGGAGTGTTTGGGTTAACCCTCACTTGTGATCAGGGAACAATTGCATCCTGGACTGCCCCTGAGCACCAAACTGAGCGACACAGATTCACTTGTCTCAAACCGGTTATCAATGTACTCAACACTGGAATTTACCTGGTAATGTTTTTCGTTTTATGCACTTGGGGCACATTGAAGCTTAAAGGTCTGTTTAGCCTTGACCGGCCCTGTCACTGGCTCCAGTGCAGACTGTCCACCGCCGGTGCCTAGCCCTAATGGTACCCCGTGCCAAGACGGTGCCAAGAGGTGTCTGGACGGCCAGTGTTCTCTCACTGCCTGCTCCGCAGTTGGCCTCCCGGAATGCTTCTGCTCCGACGTCAACAGCACTGGGCAGAGCTGCCAGCTGTGCTGCCAAGTAAGTGATGGAGGGTGGTTGGAAGGGGAGCACTTTTGGGAAACATGAGGGGGGTAGACTTGTCTCCTTTCCTACCACCTAAATGTGACATCAGAGTGGCACCGGAAGGTGAAATTATCGACGAGTAGCTCGTGTGGTGTGATATGAGATGATTCTTTTTACATGTAATTTACTAAAATCAGAAAAGAGGAAGGAAATAGATTAAGTGTATCCTGGGAGTCTATACCACGAGCAAGTAGTACAAGTTGACATCAGCAAAAGCAGCTTGTTGGCTATTAAGAAATAGCTCAATTAATTAATTAGTAGTTTTTTAGAAAATAGGTGCTGCGCAGTATATATTTTGTGAATTTTTTTTTTTTTAATTTTACACTAAAATGCTAAGATGAGAATAAATTACAATTATGATTAATAAGAATCTACATATATTTCTGTTCTGTCAGCATGAAGGTGACTGCATACCAGCTGTGGAGTTTGGCTTGACAACATTGACGGGGGATGTCATCCTAAAGCAGCCGGGGAGTTCCTGTGACAATTACACAGGTGATTGCTTGTAGGCTCATAGCATCCAGGTACTGATGCTGTCAGGATTTGCGTAATTGGAGCAAGGAAAAGGGCAAAGTGCTCCCACTGCCACGTGTTGGAAATTTCCAGATTTTAAATGATTAACCCTGGAGCTATGGACTCTTGTGAGTTTTCTTGGCGAGTATTGGACATCTGGATGATTATCAGGCATTGAGGCTAGTGTTAAAAGTGTTATACTGTTATAATTTTGACAAATGTACGACATGTAAACGTTAACTTACAAATAACTTTAATACAGGAAGAACTAAACTTAAGAAGCTGTACGAATATGTGGGTGGAGCTGATCTTTCATTTCAGTTTGTAGGAAGAGTTCCTCTGAAAAGTGTCTGTCTGTATCAAGTGATACCAGCCGAACCTTTCACAAATGATTGGATTCTCTGCTTTGTTATTTGAATTTGCCATTAGGTTACTGTGATCTGCAAGGCTTGTGCGTAACCACAGATAGCGACTCCGCGCTGAATAAACTCAAGAATTTCTTCAAGGAGGGCAGAGGACCCATCCACTGGACGAATACCCACTGGTGGGTTGCCGCCCGGGGACTGTTTAAATCTTAAACACAGTTTTTCCAGGCTGGAGACTGATCTTTCGTCTGTGAGGATGTTGTCTGTTGACAGATGGACCTTCACAAAATGAGTCTGGAATCTTAGAGCGTTCACCTTCTCAACTGCCCCAACTTTCAATCAATATTTTGTTTAGTCTCTGTATGTAACCTGTATTTCTTTCCAACAAAAATTTATGACTCATCTAAATTAATGATTAGCTCGTTTCAAAACATGCCAGTCCCCCAAGCAATACAAGTTTATTGAAATTGCAATCTGAACCACCGACGGTTTCAGACTTCAGACCTGATGACCACAGCATGGTCCCCTATCAAACCTCAAACTGAACTCGGAAGATAAAGCCTGAGCCAGGAACCAATCTCTTGCCAGATTACTGCCTCAGCACTTGCTTCATCTCGTTGGTATGTTCCAGGTACTACATTGCCTGTGCAGTTCTCAGCTTTTGCTTCTCGTGTCTCATGGCCAAGCTCTCCTACGACAATCGCCGTTACCTGCAGAACGCATTGCTGAGGATGCGCCATCCCAGGTCCACTTTGGAACCGGCCGGAGCCCACCAAGGGACAGGTACACCAGACCCTCTAAAATGTCAACCGCAATGTTTTGGCCAAAATTCCAAAGTTTCCATCTTTTTGGAAGTGATTTTTACCACTGCCACTGAAATTCTGCTTCAAAATAACCTCTCCACTAGTAGTGCCCATGGTTAGAAATTCAACTTCAGCTTAAACTGTATTTGTAGCATGTCTGGGAAAATCCGCATGCTAAAGAGACCATATCTAATTAAAAGATCCATGTCATAAATTGCATTCGAGTATGCTGAACCTGTATAAGTGGAATTGGGCCTAAACTTGCGGCATAAATGGCTACAGGTGTTAAATCACAAACCAGACAAGATCAAAGTCCTGAAAGAACAGGTGCAACTGATGTTTTTTTTTTATTTCCTGATTTTATTTTCCATCAATTACAAAAAGGGTTGATGAATGTGGGTGAATATGTCGATGTGGGTGTGACTGTTATGTTCTCAATCAGCTAAAAATGATTGATTCTCCAGGTTTATATTTAACCCTTGCCTGCCATGTAGTCTTTTCCCCTGAAAATTACATTCCATTGCATATTCAATTCTTTTATAAAAGTGGGATTCTACTCCGCCTTCAAGTTTGTATGCGCCCAGCCCTCTGGCTAGGCACACCACATATCACACTCGAGTTCAAAGAAAATTAGGGAATCTGGAATTTTGTGCTGATGCTTTCTGAAACGAGGAACGGATGACGAATACCAGGGATCACAACAACAGAAATCAGTTCAGTGCAGAATGAACACCATTATCATGGAATGAAACACAAGAACTATCGACGGATAGTTTGATGAAACAATTTCATTTCCACTGACTGATGCCTGGGTGCTGGCGCTCACTGTGTGTGAACACAGACGTTGGGAACAATTCTGGTATTGACAAACTAATGAACAAGCATGTAATAGTTACTCCTTTCAGAGAAGAAGATTTTAAGAAGAGTTGTACCCAGAAACCTACTATCAACATGGGAAATTATGACCAGGTTCACTACGTGACACAAACTGCATTGAAAGTGGGGAATAAAGTCTGTGCATGGTTACAGCTTTGTGAAAGCTAAAATTATGCAGTTCTGTTAAAATTTGGGGCAAGAGGAGAGCAGTCAAGCACCTTGAAGGGTCAGTTCAGGGAGGAAAAGAAGTGGATCTAGTGTTGTTGATGAAGTGCTCCATTCAGCTTGTACATTGGGCCAGGTGGACTATAATTTAAAAGAGAGAAAAGAAGACAAAAACTACACACAAACAGACATCTGGAACAACAAACATGTACAGCATCAAACATAGAATAGAATGAAAAGCATCATATCCCTCATCCCCTTGTGGTGGGATTCCCCTCTTAGTGAAGTTTGGGTCAAGCATTTTGCCCAGTTCTGGATTCTCGCTCTTTCTGCAGCCATCAGACCATGGGTTAACCTTGCATGCTTCGTGCAATGTTTGCAGGCTCAAGAGAAACATAGAACTCAGTGGCCATGAAAGAGTTGAGAGAAATACAAACTTTAGCGGATATTTCATTGGTTTCTCCTTTGCAGTGACAGTGTGAGCAAAGCAATACTGAAATTGATTGGTTACAGGCGAAGTTACACGCCCCCCCCCAAGTCAGTCGCTCTGTGTTTACTCTGTACATTCTTATTTCCTTGTCGTCTTTGACTTTCAAAGGAGGGGCCGAGGGGGGTCACGGTGTGTCATTGGTCGCCCCTGCCTCCCACGCGACGACAGCCGGGCTACAGTTCCTGTTGGAATCGGCAAAGCCAGCCTCACCAACCAGTACCCAGTTTTAGAGATCAACTGTGTGCATGCAGCTTCCCCAGGTGCAAGTTCCTTTCAACATGTTGCTTGTTAGGATCATTGTCCTTTTTTTTACCTGCTGTCCACTTTTCATTCAAGTGCCTTCCCTGCCATCACCCTTGCAAGGTAAAGAGTATATTACATCAGACACATGACCTCAATTTGATTTCTTTATTCTCATCTCATGTTCGTGTGTGTTTCTGCCATCATGAAAAAAGTGCCACAAGTGTAATTTTAATCCTTGATTTATACTGAAACAGGTAAAGATTACTCAATCAAAACCAAATTCACAAAAGTGTGATAGATTCTCTTGACATTGTCAGCTGCAATAGTGAAACTACACACTTTTCAGTACTGAATTTCCTGTCTGCTTTTATAAACATTTTTTGATATCCTGATTACTTTTCTTCTTGAATCATCAAATCATGTTCTATGCAAAGCTTTAAAACATGTACCATCACGTTCATTTATGTGTTTATCATTAAACCCTTTGTGATTGTAAATGCATTTTGATTTTAAACTAAATTCTTTTAAGCATGGTATTTCAGTGTTTTATTACAGTTTTAAAACTGTTGCTTACGTGCCAAACATGATTAAACCAAAGAAGAGATCAGTGTGGTAAATTTCTTGGGTTAAACATTTTTTGTGGGCATTTGCAATAAAGAACATTCAGCGTTTCTATACGGCCCACAAGTACATTTTGTCTTTCAAGTCCAAATGTTTTTACTGTTTGTCCAGAAATAGAGTCCCATTTGTAACTGAAAAAAAAATCCCTTAACTATGAAATGAGTTTGTCATGTAGGATCTCATTATTTGATGTGTTGGACATTTAGGAGAACTGTGAATGTTTTCAAATATTTAGGATAATCTGTCTGTTGGATGTCATTTATCCTGTTCGGACTAAAACATTTCAACTATTTGTGGTAATCTGCTGGGAAGCCATTCACCCTGGTCAGACTGAAACATTTCAACCATTTGTGGTAATCTGCTTGGAAGCCATTCACCCTGGTCAGACTGAAACATTTCAACCATTTGTGGTAATCTGCTTGGAAGCCATTCACCCTGGTCAGACTAAAACATTTCAACCATTTGTGGTAATCTGCTTGGAAGCCATTCACCCTGGTCAGAGGATCGTAACATTTTCACCACTGAGGTCATATTGAATTGGGTGACTTGGTATTGAGTTGGACAACTTTTATGATCAAAGCAGTCAGAATAATCTCTGATTTGTTTTATCTAATTTTTATTTCAACACTTAAAAATCAACATTTAATTACAGATATATAAATAAAACTTTACTTCTATTTACAACTACATGTATATACAATGAAATCCAATTTCCAAAAGTCATCTTCAATCGGTTTAAAAATGCAGTAGCACTTTTTCTTTGCTTAGAGATTTCATGCGCAATCATGTTCAAATTTACAGTGTGTACAAATTCATAGAATAAGGCATATACGTGTTGGTAGGCATTTTGAGTGTTGTAACATTTGATCAAGAGGAAGCGAAAAATGGAGGCTGCTGTAGCCAAAGACTTCAGCCTCGGAGATGGAGACCATCGTCAAAATGTAGTGGTGGGCTAGAATAGTCAATTAAATACTGTCCATGTTGAACAAGTCCAGAAAAACTCCATTGAGAGGATTTTACAGAATTACAGAGCAAGTGGAACTCCAGCATTTGTAATCAGAACAGGAAAAATTCAGATGAAATGCACAAGGAATGCCCACCAATCTTATATATGAACAGTTGCCACATTTGTGTAATTCACTGCAACATGTGTCACTTCCAATTGGCCTGTTAATTTGGCTGTTACTATGGTCACCAATTGGACCCAAAGTGATTCTGAAGTGAGATTGAAATTACACTGTAAATCCAGAAATCTAGCTTTCTTTAGAAGGCTGATAATTCACTAGGCTAGTGGTTCTACAGAATGTGCCCAAAAGTGATCTCAAGTGTAACTTTGGATTCGTCATCAGTTATTTACGGTTCATTACAGTGCAACTATTTAAATTACTGGCAACTCAAGAAGTGCAGAAAATGTCTCTTTCAATTTCTTTTGTTTGAAGTTGCAATTTAAGTATATGAACGAGCTCAATGTTGTGAAGAACAATGAGCCATTCTGCACAGAGCTAAGAATTATTTTCAGCTGTTTTTGAAGTTTATTAGAGACTTAAATTTGTTCCTCTAACTGTGGACTTTCAAAACCACTATCCTGTCCAAGTAAATAGGCTAGTTTATCACTGGACCTCAGGGTTCGTGCTTTGGATCCAATATCTATCCTTGACGGCAAACTGGAGATGCCATTAATTTTCCTCGTGACTGATATGGTGGAGAGCTTCAGACGGTTATTCTCCAACTCCACGTAACTTTTCTTGTCAGAGCCGCCTTTGGGTGGCTCGTCAAACCGGACCACTTTATCCAGCGGGAAATCCTGATGGTTGTCAAGAGTGAAGTCCGGTATGGTGCCCAGACTTGCTGGTAGGTCATTGTACACAGTGTCGAGGGAGCCGATGGAGGTGTCTGTGGCCTTGTAGGGTCCCGGTGACGGAATCTGAGTGTGTCTCGTGACTTGGGGCACTGGTCTGGCTGTGGCGACTGAAAGAGATGCCAACATGGCCGCCGTCTTTTCCGTCGGGGGTGGGACTTTCACTGGACCCTTCCTGGACTCGGTGCCCGTCTTGTCGCTGATTGGTCGCATGAAGGCACTGTGCTGTGATGCATTGCCATCCTGGCTAATTGTGGATGTTTTCTCACTTTTTCTTGAACGCATGGTGATGTTGGGGTTTGATTTTGAGGTAGCAGGGTAGTTCTTGGCTTGAGGCTTCCTAAGCGCTGGGGACCCTGAAGTTTCTGGGGAGCTCTCTCGCGACCTTACAGTCACAGCATTACTCCTCTGTTGCCTACTAGTGATATTCCGGTGCACTGCTCCGGAGAATCCATCTTGGCCCTTCAACGGTCCCATACTCTTGCCAACAGGGGATGAATCGGGAGAGCTTTCCCTGGATTTTAGAGTTGTTGATCTACTGCTAGAGCTGGAATCTGGCATCACTTTTCTGATGCCACTAGCCGACTTGTCTGGTGAGCTTTCCCTTGAACTAACGGCCACACTTCCTGATGATATGGAGGATATTGTGGGTAAGGATGTTTCAGCAACTTGGCTGTGGCTTTTGGCTGGGAGCCGCTCTGGTCTGGGACTGAATTCCTTGGTGATAGGCAGCTTTCTGAGTGTGATTCCTGTCTCATTCTCCTCCCAAGAGCTCCCCAAAAATGCAGGACTGACTTCATCAAATGATATCCGGCTGCTTGTTGGGTCCACTGAGCTGTCCGTACTCGATGATGTGGTGACCTCATCACTTTCCAAATTCCTGAGGCCTGAACTACTGGGAGCTGTGACGTTCTTCTCAAAGTCGTACAACTGTCTTACCTTGGCTGTTGGGCCCTGAGACTCGACAGTCCGATGCGAGTGATGTCGCTTACCCTCTGTGGCTGTCTTTGTGTCCACTGTGTCGCTGCTCTCAGCAGGACCAGAGTCCTTGTCTCCGCCTCTCGATGCAAGTGGAGCTGACGTCACCGGGTGCGGCAGCTTAAGTGTCAGTTCATCTGGGGAAAGTTCCAGGGCCTTAGCCATGGCAGCAAGCTTGCTGGCCGTGGACTGTGCTTTAGTGTTGTCGTTCCTGTCAGGAATGAGGATACAGGATACTATGAGATACAGAATGCATAGTGGAAACACCTTGAAGATGCAGAGAGCATGAGGCAAAGGAACACTGTACTGTGGGTGTTACTGGCAATGGTAGGTGTCCAGAAAGTCAAACCTTTCTCTGAGTATTACACGTGACGCATGGCTGTGTTTAGTGGTCTATGTAGCAACCGTACAGGCACTATGTGGCTTGCCCAAAGGCATGCTGGGAAGCGTACCAAACTTCACATCAAATTTACCCAAATCTAAAGGGTGCTTCATTCCAAATGTTCATGTTTCTTGAATATTAGCAAGGAGGCAGGACAGAAAACATGCTCTTTACATGACGTGCCCTCACATACCAGTAACATTTAACATTTTGAATGCCGGACGGCTGACATCCCGTAACAATGGAGCAAAGGTTGCTTAATGAGTCTAAAGTTGGGGCTGTCTATCTAAACCACACATGTCATGTAAAACAAATTTCATGTAAAAAGTCTTGCAATGCCCTGGTATCAACTGAAACCATTGGTGACCATCAATAACATGCGCAATACGAATGTGATCCTCAGCTCGCATGCCATTTTAACTATCGTTACCTAATGATTTGGTTTAACAATGGCAAGCAAGCCTTTGTATTTGGCATGGTAAGATGGCCACCGGTGGCTTCAATGACATAGGTGAGCTAACCAAGGGCAGTGCAAGTCCCGAGTTTTCATATGACATCCCATGATCTCAACTAGCCAATCCACTATCTTGAAAGTTCAACATAGTGAGGTCAATGACCCCTCATGTGGGATGGACGCTGGGTATCTCTGGCACATCTTACCCTGCTTGATTCTGATCTTCCTCCAGGAACTGCTGCAGACATTGCAAGTAGTATCGTCGTAGCTTCTTGGCTGTGTTGTGCCGTTCCTTCATGACCTCCGTGTGTACAGTGTGTCGGCAGCTCTCTCGCATGTCGCTCATTCGTTTCATCACGTCGACTAACGATGCACAGCAACATACAAGACAAAATGGATTTGGGCTTTCTGCGATCCTTGGTTTAAAATTAATACACAAACTCTATGGGCTTTGTACACACTTTTCTACCTAACAAATACGCATCTCACAGCAGTAAGTATAGTTCCTTCTCAAAAGCTTATCAATGTGGAAGAGCCCTAATCTCTAATGCAAACAGACACAGATCTTGTGACTCAACTCAAGGCAATTAATACCACCTAAATCTCATTCAACCCTGATTTTGTGGCTGTGTTAAGACTCGGCATTCTAATCGCCAGTCGACCCAGGTAAGCGCTGAAGTCTGTTGAAACCAGGATCTGTTCGGACCAGGATCCTGACTGGGGCTGAAGATCTCATTTGGTATCAGGGTTGAAGAATTTCAAGAATTTGAAAGGGCGCTTTCATCAGAGGAACTGCACCTTGTGCGCTGGTGGTTTCTCATCCTTACGCAATTAATTAAGCAAACACCAAAATACCCACCACGTGCACAAAACCTACTTGAGTAAAAGTTAATTGGATCTCAATTTCTGTACGTATCCAGCAACTATTCGGGCTTGCCAGCTCAATATGCCCCAAGGTTTACAGTGGGATGACTCACCCTTGATCTTCTTCACTGTTCTGATGTAGTGAGCTTTGATTTCTTGCAGGGCCTCACTGGACATGCCATCCTCATTACTGGCAGCAGTCTGCAAATATAGACACCATCCAATGAACGATGAGTGGAACCAGAACAGAGTTCATCTCTGAAAGTAGCGGACTAGGAAGATCACAGCAGAGGGTAACACAATTTCTAGGGTCCAATACCAACAGGTGCCAAAACTAAACAGTTAATTGATGCTGTAAAACCAATTTCCCAGAATACAATTGTAAAATAGTCACTTGAAAGTGCACTCCTTCCCAACAACCATTCAAAGAGGCACTGCCAAACAAGATGACCCGAGGGGACTGGTCCACACAATTTGAAACTATTTCAATGCTAATATGATGCAAGAAGACTGAGAGTGTGTTAGTCTAGTGAGCAGAAATAATCATAATGTATGGTTCCCTGACTGTATCGAGGAATGGTTCCCTGACTGGGTTCCTTGATAAGGATACATTATTAGTCGATATTATTATTTTTTTTATATTATTATGTTGGTCCTGGTGTTAACATCACAGTGTTGACAACTTTGGGTGTCTCCAATGTGCAAACTGCCACTTCTGCTGACCTGTGTCTTGGCATCGATCATCTTCTCCCCGCCTCCCCTCTGTCGTGTGGCAGCCTCCAGCTCCTCCTCGTGCCTCCTCCGCATCCCGTCCATCTTACGCTCCAGCACCTCCACGGCCGCCTCACTGGCCTCCCGCAGCCGGCTCTGCAGCCGCTCCAGCTCCCGACGCAGGCCGTACTCCGTCTGCCTTGCCTCCCGCTCGGCGTCCCCGAGCTGCTCCCGCAGTGCCGCGATCTCTGTCTCCAGCCGCTGCCGGGCCACGGCGTGCTTCCGCCGGTGCCGCTCGGCCTGCCGCCGGTGGTCCCGCAGCTGGGTGGCCGATTCCTGCAACTGCTCCCGCAGGTCGGCCCGCTCCTTCTTCCACAACTGCTCCTTGCGTTCAAGGATCTCATCACAGGCTTTCCTCAGCTCACTTTCACAGTTCTGTCGACAACATAGAAATGAATATTGATAAAGCTGCACCCAGTAACGTTTGAAAAGGACATAATAACTACAGCGATTTGTAACAATTCATTAAGGAATCAATTTCACAAGTTCCTGGTCCTTTGCCGGAAATGTGTATCACACAGGACTCTGTGGTACTGGCTGCCCCTACTTCAAATAGATCATGTGTAATGTCAAGCCACAGCTGGATGAGGCCTCAAGCCAGACTTTCAGAGGAGAAGGTGGGAACATATCTAGAACCTGTCTTGCACCTTGCATCACTGGCAACATTATTCCATTAAGGAGTTAGAACATATGAGGAAAGTGCTGTATTTTGGCGGCAATTACATTCAGAGAGTGAAGGAGATTTTGCAACAAAACGATGTTGGCAACCATCAGCAGGCAAACCTCTGGCATTCCAGTGCCTAACATAAGATCGTTCTCTCTCACATCCATATCCGTCTGAGCACTTCAGTGTTTTCAGGAATGTCCTTTCATCATTTTACCTGGGACCATTGCTCCCGTGCTGCTCGCACTGCCTCCTCTATTCCCCTCTCCAGCTCTACCTCGTAGTGGGATCTGAGCTCCGTCTGCTCGGCTTCGCTCTCTGCCTTCAAAGATGCTGCGGCCTTCTTGCTGGCGTCCATCATTTCTTGCTTTTCCTGTGGAGATATGAACATAACTGATGTGACGGGGGAGGTCGAACTTGGGGGAAAAAGAAAAGAAAAGAAATGTATTTGTTCTTGTCCAAAGCTGCTAACAATCAGTCTGTGAGAATACAAGAACTTTATGTCCTAACCTGAAACTGGGGTTAAAAACAAAAATTTTTTCACCGAAGTAAAGAGAATCTTGTGAAGATACTGCAGGTTGAATGACAATGTTCAAACCTAGCCATTCGAGATCCTTCAAAATCAACCAGGAGATTGATTTTGACTTTGCAGAATTGCAGGAGGCGGAGACTGGTCACTGTTGCTTTGTGCAGGGCCTGATGCCCATGTGAAAATGTACCAAAAATGTACACTAATTGTAGAGGACTCTGGAAAGCTTGAAGCAAAAATGCCAATAGAGATGAGGAAATGCCCTCTTGAGAAAAACGGTGTGGAAGAGAAAAATCAAGGTCTCAGAACTGGCTTGAGTGGCTTAATACCTTCTGCCATCGGTCTTGTGCATCCTGCACAGCCTTGTTGACTGCATCTCGCCGGCCGCTGACTTCTTCATCTAGTCTGGACTGCCACTCACTACAAGCACGCTCCAAACTTTGACTCTGTAACATCAATCAGATGGAACAGAGTGCAGTGAATGGAAATACACTTTAAGCATGCAACTACAGACTAAAAAACCTTCCAGGAAAATGTTATCACGAGAGATGATTGATGAGGCATTTCAGAAACATTTCAAGACAGAAATGCTACAACTGGGCCTCTTGTTTACAGTTCAGAGAAGGGCCTGGCAGGTTACAGTCCCATCAACATGTGCTGTCCCATCCATTCTTGGTAATCCCCATGAATGCTTTTTTTTGGCACATTTACTTTCGAATTTCTCACACTTGAAAATAAACCTTAAAAATCTAAAACTTGATGGTCTAAACCTTGATACATCTGCCTGGAGCAGACGCACCCCCTCATCGGTTGAAATGAACCATGTTGGTGGGGAGTTTTCATTTTGTTGGTAGCGACGCGACTGTAATGCGTCCATTTCCTAGTCGTTCGTGAACCTGCGAAGTTCATTTCCGACCAAAGGAACCTCCATTGCTAGGAACATAACGCCCTCTCTTGCTCCAACTTGAGGCCCACATCAGTCCCACATCATACACTGAACCTGCTAACTTGGTTAAAAATTGTCGGAGGAAGTATGACGATAGGATTTCCCTACCTTGTCCCTGTCTGCTTCTTCTCTGGCTGCTCTCAGTGCCTCCTCAATGCCCAGCCGGTGCTCCCTCTCCAGCCGCGTCTCGACCTCCTCCAGGGCAGCCAGCCTCTCTGCCTGGGCCTCCTGCCTCATGGTCTGCCTGGCCTGCTCCAGCACGGCCTGCAGGTTGGTGATGTCCATCAGGTGCTTGACTTCCAGGGCCTTGGTCCTCTCGGCTACCCTCTGCCCAACAGACGGTTTAAGACGGATTGAGGTAAATGATTGCTCTCTTATCGGTTTTGAAAATTTAAAAATCACACCTCAAGGTCTGACATAAGTCATGATGTATGTGAGTGGTCCCACAAAATGAGATTATGGGACATGTTTCAGTAGTTCAGGGTTGGTCTGCATTAGAAAAGAGCAATGTGAACTTGCTGTATTGATGCAGCAATCAGTTTGGCATCCTGATGTAAGTGGGCATCATGTAAGTAAAATTGTTGGGTGTTTCCTATTTGGAAGCTGTTTCTGAAGGCCTTTCCACTCAAAAGTGGCTCTGAAAACTTGCAGTACATTTCAAATGAAACCACAATTCTTGAGCTTCATAATCAAGTTTCATCCCAATTCAGTTTTATTCATTATCCTGATCTGCAGTTCCTATTCTTGTAATCAAACTTATGAATATTGAGTCTGGAATCACCTGCCGAGTGTAAGCTTTAAGTCTGTGTTTACGAGAATCACAGTCCCGATATACGTCCCTGGAGGCAAGAGCCAGTATCGTACTGAGTTTGGAATCACCTGCTGAGTGTAAGCTTGAAGTCTGTGTTAACGAG